AGTGTTCAATCTTTGTATTAATTATTATACAATCGAATTGTTCTCCTCCTTTTTTTAAGTTGGTTAAAAGTAGACCGCATATAATTATTAATACAAAGATAGAAAAAGTACACACTTAGAAAAAATTCCTTCGTTCCGGCCGGATTGAATAGACGTCTTCTAGCATACCGTGGCAGACGCTATACCAACTAAACCACGGAACGAACCAGCGGACCTCACGAATTCTTCTATGTGCTTGTTGTCGGATCTATTTATCTGGTTTTTTAGCCAAAGCGCCATCTATTCGATTTCTTTCTAAAGTGTTCGATCTTAAACTATTTGTTTTTTCAAACAAACCGACGTTTCGGGCCCTTTACAGGTCCCATGGTCACGGTTGACTCAAACAAACCCATTTTCTGTTTGAAAATGAATAACAAAAAAGAAAATTAAATAAAATTAATTAAAAATAAAATCTTAGCAATAAATAATTATGCGGCCACAAAGCTGGTCAACACTATTGTTGTACTAAGTAGATGTCGTGTGTGCGGCTGTGGCGTATGTAATAGGATCCACTCAGCTAATGTCACCGCTGGGACAAGGCTGTGACGCTGATTTTCAGTGGACCCTAAAACCGATTGAGTACCGGACGTGTGTGTCGCGTTTAAACTAAAATAAATTACGTGTATATTTCTGTAATGTAGTATGGTGTGTTCTCTTATATTTATAAAATACTTAAATAATCCATTTGATACATATATGCAGTGATAAGCGTATGCAATGTAATGTCTATTATTTACAACAAACAAAAATGGGACTTGTTTAGTTTAAAAAGGTATTTTAAATTTCTTATCAAGGATCTTAATTTGGATGCACTACTTTAGGAATAGGCAAAAGCCAGTGTATGAATAGGATGGAAATATGATGTGAAATCAGGCTGCAAAATTTGTATATACAATCTAATTTTTGCACTTCAGTAACTATGTGCTTTAAGATACGAGTTTGAAAAGATACGAGTTTGAAAAGTTGACGAGTCAAAAGTTGAAGTTAAGGAGATTAAAAAAAACACTGTGCTGTCATGGAGGCTCAGATGGTGATGATTAATTAACAGGTGATAATTACTGGCAATGAAGAACTGTAATTTAAAACCAATATAACACTTCCCTTATCATCAGTTAACGTCGGAAACCGATGATTGCGCTTCAAATAGACGTAATTAACCTTTAATGGTTTTACCCTGTCTGAGTCGGAAATTGTGCTGTGTAAGCCGTTTCCTGTCACATATTCGAGCTGAAGATCCGCCTCTCTCTTAATTTGTCTTAAGAAGAGCACAAGAAAGTCATTAACGCGTACAGTGTAAGCCTACATAGAGTAATAGACGTTTTTGAGCTTTCGCGTCTTTTTATAACTCGATCTCTTCCATAGATATTTATGCATCTGTCAATTATACCGACTAGAAATTTCAAATCTGGAATGCAGATACACAATATTAGTCGATAGAGTTCCAAGAATAAGAGAGGAAGTGGGTTATATTTTTAACCGACTTCAAAAAAGGAGGAGGTTCTCAAATCGTCTGTATGTTTTTTTGTATGTATGTTACGCGATAACTCCGGTATTTGTGAACCGATTTTCATGATTCTATTTTTGTTGGAAAGGGGGTACTTCCATAGTGGTCCCATTTCATTTGAAGAAAATCACCCGCCTCGAAGGGTGGCTGTTCACGCATGAAGATTCATTTTTATAAATAGCGCCTAACTATAATTTAGGAGCAATTACTTTAATGGTTGATTTTGCTATTTCTCC